CTTGAGTTGAGGATGAGCTTGCCATACAGTTGTTTTGGCACCACTCGCAAAACACATTAGCCCAACAATTTTCTCACCCAGAAATTTAATGTCCTCCTATTGAAATCAGCGCAACAAAGCCCTAACTCGGCGCACACTAAAACAACTTGAATCAACGCAGTGGATGATGTCTCACCGTCTGTTGCGATGTGCTCGATTTGAGTTCATCACTGGGTCGAGGACAGTAGTACCAAACTGGTGAGTGTTGCTTACTGTGTCAGAAGCCATACGTGTACGTCGTTACTTGGCCGCCAGCCATGGGACCTGTCTTAAGTATATGGCCTCCTAGTATCCCAACTGGAATCGGAAAATCAGAGACTGGTGACCGAATACATGCTCACTTTTGTCCATGGTTCTACCCAAATTTGATCTGTGGCTTCAAATAACGTATAGTGCCGTGCGGCGATAGCAGTTACGTAAAGTCACACAGCTTTGTTAAGAAAAGAGCGTAGCTATCCAAGAAAGTGAGTAGTGAGATGTTGATGAAGCGATGAACTTTTACAAGACACAGTGAACACCGTTGATGAGCTTCCGGATAACCGAAAAGCTTCGCAACCACAATGTTTGATCGTGCAAACTTCCTTGACAGCGAACTTCTTTGTACTTTACCTTGATGCGGAAACGATACATCTCACTCGCCGGACAAGTGCATTTGATGATGCCCACATCGTAAGCCATTTGATAAAAAAATACGGTTAGAATCTGTTAGAAAGACGGAACCTCAAATTTACCTGGTGGTTGTACCAACCACGTAAATGTGATGACAATAATTTTAGTTGTGTTTTCAACCATTCTTTTAAGTTCATGTAAACGATACCCACTGCAAGCAACCACATGGTGTTAAATATAAGTGAACTAAAACGAAGTGCTCTCAGCTCAAATAACTTGCACTCACCACCTGCTTCTGTATGGCCGACCGTTTCACAGCTCGTTTACCCATAGCCACAAATAGATGTCTATCGCAGAACCTGGGTCTACATCCACGCCTTTCATATTGCCTCCACGTTTCGCCATCTTCTATGGTCATACCCATCTTGGCAGCCAGTCCTTGCATTTCCTCACGACAGTCAGATGAATGTCCAATACAATCACGAAACCGAGTGCGTTGTCTCATACCCCATCGCGGCGTACTCTGACCAAACATGACCATCTCCTGCACTCCTCGAGGTGGGTTCTGCCGAAAAGAACTTTGGCATTCTGGCTCGCACTGTGACCATTGTGACCAAGGTGTCCAACCGTTCAAACTAAGTGGATGTTCGCATTTTTCTCCAGTCCATCCAGCATTACATAAACAACGTGCAACCACGGCCGGCCTTCTCCCAAGCCAGGTAAATGGCTCACGTTTTTCCTTCCCCCTTATTTCCAGTGCTGTTCCCTGTTCAGTCTGTGAAGACGAATACCAAATAGCACGAAATAAGTCTGGCTTGTGAAAAGTTGTTACCGAATTTCGGATCATACAGCAAAATTTGATATATGAGCTCTCAATAGTGTATAGATTAAAATGTGTGCTCCTCAGTGGATAAAATTTACGCCTAAATTATCGTATCTCCAGTTTTCTAGCTAGGGTAACTTTGAAAATGGAGCGCGTTGCTTGATTTGATATTCCAAAGAAGAGATAGCAAAATCAAGAAAAACCCAATGTAACATACGGATAAGCTGTCAACAGAGATTAGTCACTCAAGGCCCTCTTAACTGGAGTGATAATTGGCGAGCGGGGGTCCTAAGTGCTACGGAGCAAGTAGATCTCATCAAAATCCAACAAAATTCTAGCCAATAGTTTCAGGCACAATAACATTCCAAATAGCGTTCTAAATGATGTTTATTTCAAAGGATCTACTTTCAATCGTAAACTCATTTTGACAGACGACTATCGTCATGTGACAGCTGCATAGAAATGTCATTATCTTACGCAGATACCGATCTTCAGGATGTCTAATTACCCTTGGCTTTCTTGTACGCCAGCTGCACACTAGTTCTTCGCTTCACCGTCCGGTGCTCTAGGCCGACAATCGTGCAGTTGATTGAATGGATTATAATCCCGGATACCGATCGGATGTGCAAACTTACAAGGAAAATTTTTTATGTGGTCTGATGAGTATTATGTATCTCTCAGTTTATAATAGCCTTCAAGCAAACACCACCACACAGTGCTCTGTGACTTACCATTTCCCGATGTTTTCCTCAGGAGTTCTTTGTTACTATCTACTTGGTAAAGCAATTTTCACCAGTGTCTGGGATGACCTGATGCCACGAGCTCCAAGCTTTATTGAGAGGCATATAATGTCAGTTTGTTTGTAAATTCCTGGTAGGCAAGTGCAGTACAAGCTGCCAAAATATATCATCGGAATAATTTTTAACACCCAACGCCTCTTTTATCTCATCTTATCTGACATGTTTCTACTTTCGGAACGTGTTCAAAATTTAAGCTTCTGTCTGGAATTCCTCTGAAACTTTTTTAAACCTCGTTTGCGTTTTTCAGTGAAAAATAGTACGTCTTTGAAGCATCGCCCACGGCTAAGGTTTCGCTCTCGGGGCTTATATATTCCGCCCACGTTTTCTCATCTTTTGAAAAGGATTACCCAATTTCCCGGTATTTTTGTCCTGAAAATTTACCCTCGGTTGCAAGCAGGTTTCCTCGCCTTCATAGTGTATTGAACAGAAACCATGGATGAAGACCTGAGTCTAGCGTATTTTTAATTATAGGATTGTAACCTTTCTCACTTGTCTGGGAAGCACACTGATATATAGATTCTCTAAGAACTTGATGACTACAAAAGTCCCTTCAAGGGGTAATGTATCTCAAGAGCTACAACACAAACGTAACTGAACAATGCACATTCCTTACCATAAAATCAGTGCTTCTGAAGCCTTCAAGATCAACTTGAGCCTCAGTGGACGGTCCAGTAGTAGCCTAACATAAGGGATTCTCTCAAGCAGTAAATATATCAAGAACCAGACTCATTCGGTTGTGACGCGATTTGGGTGCGCAATTGCCTTATAATTGTCAAGCGACAGGCGGCGATATTTAAATGGTAGAACAAACCGTTCTGGTTTCTATGCCAATGTGGGGCAGATCTGTCGGAAATTGCTGTTTGTTGTTCAAGGTCAGTAACTCTCAACCACGGGCCAAAGGTCTTTACGACACAACTCATTTACACCCAAGTAAGGAGCCCAAGAAGTAATAGAATCCATTTGTGAATCTGAGCTTCCCTTGAAATCACCCAGTTTTATCAAAAAGGGGGTTAACTATACTCATAAGATTGTGGATTAGTGTTGTATCTTGCGGTGCGATGCGGTGGCCGAGCTATTGGGTTACGCCTGCACTGCGCCTGCCAGGCTACGCGATAGGGAGAAGACAGAGAACTGGGGACACGGCTGTATTGGCAGGACAAAACATACAGAACGTCTGCGTAAATATATAGGATGACTAATTGGCCAAATATGGTCGTTCTCTTTTTCGCTCCGTACAGCCAATGGTGGTGGTTCGGTCGTGAACGGTCTCAGGCCCACTACGCTGGTCGTGTGTTGCTAGGCCGTGTTTGGTGAGAGCCGTGTTTCGTAGGAGCCGTCAACTCACCTAATTTCCGGACGTGTCGAACCGATAGTGACCTTGGGGATGCGTCACTCTCTGCACATGTACTTTTTCTTCTGTCTGGGCGCGCGCTGACAACTATATATGCTCATTTTCTGTCTTTACTGGATGAATCCCGGGGGGTAGAATTTGATAGGCTATTTGTAATTCTATTTGATTTTTCGAACGAATCATCGATACATATCTTCAGCTGTTCAAAAATTCTCATAACCATGATAGGATTCTCTAGTAAAAGAATGACTTCGATGGGTACTGATGGCGTTGTTTTTTGCGGAAACCTATATTTTGCTATTTAATCTACCAGCTATGTCACCCTGTTGACTTGAGCTCAGTTGATGACTATCTAACTTAGCCCAAACTTCAGCGTCAGGCTAGGTTTTACTTGTAACAGATAGGCTATGAAAAGTACTGGCTGCTTGAAAATGCGCGGATCATGCATAATCACCAACGCTTACCAGGACGCAGGTGCCATGTATGCAAGCTTTCACCATGCACGGATCGACCTGTCTCAGGCAATTGTCCAACAAACGTCCCTTGGGCAAAAGTGCTGACTTCGGTATTCGAGAATACTCCGCCGAACATATGCAAGAATAGGCTGCCAATTCCGGATATGGGATGCATTTATTTCCCTTGCTGACGGCGCACGCCACATTGCCTGAGAGAGCTTCACCAATCGACATGGTACACGGATCCTTCAGCTGTGCATTGTGTAGGACAAAGGTAAATAAGTTTAAGCACGTTGTCTATCGTAAATAATCAGCTATTCTGGCTGCTTGTTAAAGACAGCGACAAACAAAGCTCACATAAGAAGCACTAGGAAATTATGTAGTGTGTGTTGAAAAAGAGTGGAATTATGTTGGGATGTTTTGCACGTGCTTCAAATGCTCACGTTTGTATCACACGAATACGACGTCACAGTATAAGTCCTAAATATGTTTCAGCAGTACATACTGTAGTAACGGTACTTTTCTCAGCTTAGTTCTCGGTCTGAGTCTTCCAAGCTAGCGTTCACGCGAAAACAACCACCAAAGGCGCATAAGGTATATTAAAGCCCAAAACGAAGTCATATATATAATGTAAGCGGCGACAACTTTCTGGAAATTCTAACGCCTTCTGGATGCGGCATTGGCAACCGGCATTCGGCCGATACTGGGTTATGATTGGTTGTTGAGTCCAGCGTTTCGACCAATCAGATCTCGGCTTGATATCGGACCGGCAAGCGTCCCGAATTTTCAGCCAGTCTTGCGTGAGACAGGCTTCTTGGTCGTAGCAACACCTGACTGCGAGAGGTCAAACGGGATCCGAGGGGAATTCCGCCTAACACATACCAAATATTTTACAACACCCGCCGATAAACGATCTCTGAATGAAAACAATTGTTCGGGGAAGGAAAACTGTGACGAACCTAAATGTTCCTATTCCCTAAATGTGATAAACCCCAGAATGCAACGGAAAACTTATTCTGATGAGGATCTATTTTTAAAATGGAATGCCGTTATCCATGCAAGTCTTACGTCGTGTAATCGCAGTCTTTTGAGGTGCTGTAAAGTGCCGCTTAAAAGTCTCTGAACAAACCTACAGGGAATCAGCAGAGCAAAACGTGAACGTATCATCAAGAGGGAAGGGCTAGCAAACTGATGTACATACTGGCCCAAGGAGTGGAATTGAATGAGAGCCTCTATTGAAGATACGTTGCTGTAGATCACAGTTGTACAATCGAGTGGAGCTGCGAAGACCTGGTGAAAGTACAGGAGATCGCCTAACTTTAAGTATGGTTAATTAAAGCGTAGAAAGTTTAGTCAGGGCATGAAGCAAGATTCCACCAGCTAGCTCTTCTAACATGTCCATTCCACGGTACGGTTAAATGTTTCTGGATGCCGTCATTCTGGTCGTGAGTCAAATGACCCCTTCTACCGCTTGACAGAAAATGAACTCCTCACCAGGCGCTCGTAACGCTTTCGTCCTATGAGTGACATTCAAATTTTAGACTAACAACTTCATGCGAACCTAATATTAAGTGCTAATTATTAAACATTTTGACGCAAAAAGTCAAAAGAAACTTTATCGGTTTTGTTCCTTCTTGAACACTCAACTATAATTCCTCACATTTTGTTTGGAGATATCCAGTTTCCGAGATTCACACTGCAGTTGGCTGACGCAACGTTTGTTGCGTTTATTCGATCCGAGAAGTCTGTTCATTTATCCAGGCGGCTCATCCTGGTAATGGCACGTCTGAAAACCTAGATCGGTGCACTGAGAATTTAATGCGTAAAACCGGGTGTTCTCAGACAAGTGAATTCTCATTGCCAAGATTCTAGTTAATAATGGAGCGAATCAAAAACTGCAAGTCTATTCAAATGTTTTATACAGGTGCCCGATTGTAGAGGTAGCAAAAGATATGTTTACTAGTAACAGTGCCGAAAGTGTACCAATGACTCTTTACAGCCTACCTCCGGTCTCACATTCGATGTATTTGTATGTACCCAATTGCTTTCAAATTGCTGAGCAGATTTTCAAGCTAACGACACACCGGAGCTTCTTCAGCCTGGCCTCTACCAGACGGTGTTTCACATAGCCTTAGACACTCCAGCTAAAGGATATTTGAAGACTCACGAGGGCAGTAAGATTTAGCTCATTTATGTATTCAGACAAAACGGACTAATCGGAATGAATTAGGTGTTAGAAATGAGAAGTAGATATTGACTTAAACCGAACACATTCTCAAGTTCGACAGCTGCCGGATAAAAACGACCATATTTGTATGGAAATAAATATGTAAAAAATGATTGTTCAGTTGTAACAACCCCTCGGTGCCTAGTCACCGTACGCCCAGAAACAGGCATGAATTTTGAGATTATATCAGGTCGTTCTAGCCTAGAGAGAAGTCGCTGAGATCCCGTGATTAGTTTTGATCCAAGAACCGTTCGGCCAGTAAGTTCATGTCTTAGCCAATGAGCTACCTGAACTAATTGGTGGGTGATCTCTCTTGCACAAAGCCTTTTTTTACCAATCATGCAAGCAGTTCGGGGTGAGAACAGCGAAACACCGTGGGAATTGAGGCGATTTTGCGATCTGCTCACTCGTAAAGATGTGCTTGACACCCAAAACATTGACCAAAGAAAAAATGTCATGAGGCCTTCGAAGGGCGTCACTTTGCGAGTGCCAAAAGATGAGTTACACTCGAGTTTTCCTTTAGCCCTTCCGTGTCCCTTACATAAATATAAGATATTCGCGCATACTCATATAAATTACAGGTGGTCTATTGAAATTTCCTCACCTTTCTCAGTGCGAACGGGGAAGAAGATGGATTGCGCTGTGTGTGGATTCTACTTGCATTATGATTTCAATAATTTTACCTACAGTGATCGACAAGTCGAGTTATCGAATAACTCTGCATTTGCCGTTGTTTTTCAAGCATTAGTCAACCTCAATAAAAATGGTCTTCCCTGATCATAATTAGAATTCCATGAGAGTGATGGCTTACTGATTTAATTTCGCTGTGACCGGATTTGTAGCGTACATAGACCGTAGACAGCATGCGAAATAAACGAGGCCTGATTCTTTCCAGACATTTTTGAAGCACGCACATTGTACAAAGTTTGAGCACGCGTTTAAGGAGGCTAATCAATGTTAACAATAGAGATTTTAGGAATATCCACGGAAAACTATTGTAATTTCTGCATGAAAATCTATTCTATGTAATTTTAAAGCTTTGCCTGCGACACTGCAGCATTTGGTGAGGTAAAGTGCAGTTATTTTCTCATTTTTTCTCATGCAGTAATTGGTACTTTGAACTCCAAAGGAAATTCAGTAGCAGATTTTCAGAAGATACAAAACCAGTGCTTATATTGGTTTTATCTTGGTGTTGGTTCATAGTTGCTGACACCAATTTCAAGCCGAACCTCAAGAGACCGTGATCCAGGAGCTTTATTTCGGAGTGTTTCCTTCTTAGAACAGTCTTTTTTGGGGGACGACTTTACTCACGCCAAAATAGTTTAACTTCGTGCTCCAACTTGGAGGTTCATTTCATTTCACGAAGCAACCACATCGTTCCCTAGCTACCTTCGCTGAATTCTTTCCGCTGGGCGGTCGAAGTTTCGCCATCGAGTTCAGCTCTCAGTAATCGGTGCTTGGCTTTCAATCCACTGAAGTTCAAAACAATGAACCCGAAATTTATCAAACTTTGATTAGTTTAAATTCACCCTATTCTTTCCCAGCTCACTTTTCAGCCTGTCATTTTCAGAACCAAGCACAAACCATACCTTTTCTGTTAGCCCAATGCTTCCGTCTGTTCGGAATTCTAACCCATCGGTAGAGCAGTCAAATGTAGTGTTTAGCCTTTCATTGGGATCAATCATGTCCTGTTATTGGCTGCTTAAAAACAGCCATATTCTCAGGAACAACATTCTAGGGGTATCAGCACCGCCGTTCAAATTTGCCTACTGAAATTAAGGGGGAATATGCAAGCTCTGAGATTTGTTGCGAGAAGAAAATGCAGAGCGCTGTGGGTCAAATTAGCGGTGAATCCATCCATGCAACATTGGGGTGGTATCTCACTCAGACACAAGAATACTGTTAACAGTTTTGTGTAACCAAAATCGAACCATCTGATCCATGTGTAAATGGAGGTTGTTCACCCATGATTCTCGCGAAACATGGAGCGAACTTTCCGATGGTCACTGTCAGTGGGCGCGAAACGACATGTGCATTTTTACGCAGGCTGGGACGTCTGCGATTTTGATCATGGTTGTAAAGTTCGACACCTTGATGTCCCAAATCTCTAGTGTATTAGTGAATGCTCCTGCAACTTGACGATAAAGTCAAGTTTAAAAAATCTAGGGAATTAGAACAAAGGTGCGCGAACGAACATGTTTTTGGCAAGGTCTTTTCAAGTCATACAGCTGTAAAGGTAAGACAGCAGGGAATTAGAACAAAGGTGCGCGAACGAACATGTTTTTGGCAAGGTCTTTTCAAGTCATACAGCTGTAAAGGCTAAGACAGCAATACCTGAAACAATTTGATGAACATAATTTATACGAGACAGGAAGCCGAGTGAGAGACCGCAGGCAGTGCTGTCGTTGTATGCTCAGCACAAAATGCATGTTTGGCGGGAGGTGAGCTTGGCCACGACAAGTTCAACACACGAAAAAAGTGTCTCTGCCGACAAAGGATCGGTTTGCAACGTAGTAAGTTGATAGCTCATGCAACTACGACTGTGCCGTACCGTAAATATGTGGGTTGATTAACAGGCTCTTGTAAACAATAAGGAAACTTTGGATGGGTATTACACTGTGCGCCGCGTTGAATAAATGATGTACGCCTGGGCAGATTATCATCCTCCTACTTCCAGAAGCTAGTCAGGGTGGATTGTCTTCCTTCATCCTTTGGCCGGGTCGCCTAGTCGTCTGTTCAATGTATTCTACTGCACAGAGGTAAGAGAATGAGTTTACTAACATTTTTCGGGCATGGATCAGCACTTGATTTTTGAGACTGAAGGAACACAGGCGACTGTTTGTTAACCAGGTTCGGAGTGTTGCGACCGGGAAAAAAATCCGCTCAAACTGACGTGAGGCCTTCTGTTAAGTAGCTCAGACAGTACATCACCCCTTAAACAGAAAGCTGATGTAAACGGTTTTCTTTCAATAGTGGTAGTAACAATAGTGGCTCCTCCCCTGTTCAAATGCTTTACACTAAAGCTGTCGTAGAACATGTTATATCAGAACGTTGGTGTTGATTCCTTTCTCCTACCTTTTATCTTGTACAACGCGATTCCCCCTTTTTCGTTATTTTGGTCTGTGCCCATACCACCCTTGTTGTTTTTGACCTGAACATAAACCGTTCTTTGACCTTGTCATCGGACGTGTCGTTTAAGTTCACACGTGGTTTCGCTAGCTTGTAAACACGTGGCTCCGAGTCGGCGTGGACTTTGAGACCCGTTAGGAATTAGCAGTTCCTAAACCGGTGTATAGAAGCCGGCGTAGTCCCACGATTTGAGGTTTGTAAAGCTTTATCATTTTATTATTGTACTTATAGTACCGCATTTGTAGATAAACCTC